ATTGATATGTTGAACTTTAAGTCCCTACAGAATATGATAAAAAAACATTTAAAAATTCGATTATATTTTAAAAATAGGATAATGAGCTGAATGTCTTGGAGCCATCTGGTGATGAGCTAGCCTCAGTGTCCCCCTCTGGGAGGAGGGGACAGGGTGCCTGTGGGCTGCTGCAAGCACTAAGGGGAGCTCTGGGAGAGCCCTCCGGCAGTGCCGAGCCCGGGGAGGTCTGCATCGTCGAGGCTGCCCTCCCTCGGCTCCCCTCCCACCTAGCAAGGCTGCCCAGCACTGTCAGTCTCTGCAGCGTCCTCTGGCGCAACGTGCCTGGTGGGAAGGATCCTGGCTTTGGTGTGATCTCACCTGGGGGGCTGCAGGTAATGGGAAACAGCAGGTGACCTAATGGGAGAGAAGCCGAGTGCGATCTCACGGGCTGCCCTTCTTCTCCACAGGGGCTTCGCTGCACAGCCTGAGACCATGGCCAAACCAGCACAGGTAAGGCCCCCGCCCCCCAAGCTAAGGCTGTGCCCAGCCTTCCTGGGGGCCCAGTACCCCTAGACTTAGGCCTGGAGCTGCTGGGACTGTGGAGGACGGGAGAGGCTCTCGGGCCCTCCTACACAACAGTCCAGGTCGCCGGCGACTGCTGCACCCCAGTCCAGAGGGAACGCGCTGGCTCCTGTGACTGACAAGCGCAGGGCCACAGGGCTGGCTGGATCCAGGGCCCAAGGGGTAGTGTTCCATCTGCACAGTCACGCTTCCTCTGGGCAGCTCCGTTCTCGGGTGCATCCTCTCCCTGGCATGAGAGTCCTCAGCAGCCCTGGGCTTCCAATCCCCGTCTTAGGCCAGGAAAAAATAAAGCATGTAACTTGTGTGCAGTGGGGGCGGGGGGAGGGGGTCCCCTGCTGTGCTCCTCCTGGCTGGGCCTGCGGAGCTGGGGCCAGGAGACTGACTCAGTCTTGCCTGAACTGCATGGCCCCCAGCGGTTCTCCAGAAGACCAAGGAAGAGGAGAGGCTCTGTGAGCCTGTCTCGGAGGTGGGGTGTTCCCAGGTGCACCCATCCAGGACCGAGCTCCCTGGCCGGGCAGTCTCCAGCCTCCTCTTGTGCTCTGTCACTATGGGGGATGGTATCTAGGTTTTTTTGTTTTGTTTTGTTTTTTTGCTGGCTCAGCCTTCCCTGAGGGCAGGATGGCATGGTATGTGGTGCTAGGGATCCAACCACAGGCCCTTGCGCCTGCCTAAGCTTGTCTAGGCAGGCTCTTTAGACTGCTGAGCTATCTCGCCGGCTCCCACTATGGGGAATGGAGTCGAAGCATGTTTCTGTCTGTGTAGTCACTGGCAGGGTCTGTCTGTGGCCCCTGCCAGGGTCCCTCTGACTGAGTCAGGGCTTGTCTGGGCCCTTTCCCTGACCTGACAGAGGAGGTGTGGTCCATGAGTGGCAGGGCGAGGGGAAGTAAGACTGAGGAGCCCAGCTGGGCATGGTGGCACATGCCTGCTATGCCAGCACTCGGAGGCCCAGGCAGGAGGACCCCTGTGGGTTCGAGGGCAGCCTGAACCACAGAGTGAGCTCAAGGCCAGCCTCCGCTGCATAGTAAGACCCTGTCTCAAAAAGACAAAAGAAACAAAACAAAGAAAAAGTCTCAGACCTGAGGGACTTGACACCCAACCCTTCCCCTTTCCCCAGCCGCAGGACTGCTGGCTGTGAAGTGTAATATAGAGGCTTTTCACCCCTTCCGGGCCTCACTCTCCCCTCAGGAGGTGGCAGAATCAGTGCAAACTGAACTTTACCCCTGGGTCAGTGACCTGCCGCACAGGAAGCCAGGCCCAGATGGTGCCGCAGCTTCAGTGGAGCAGCGTGCTATTGACGTAGGGCCAGTGCCACCCAGAAAATCCTGCCGTAGCCAGGCATGACAGCGCATGTCTGTAGTCCCAGCCCTCTAGTAGGCTGAGGCAGGATAGCGCCCAGCCCGGACAGCTGAACCAGACCCTGGCTCAAAATTTAAAAATCTGTAGAAAGCGCCAGGATGTAGTTCAGTGCGAAGGCCCTGGGTTCAGTGCCTCCCTGCCAGCCCCAAAGAGGAGAGGGCGACCCCAGTTACGGCAGAGGCCGAGATGGACACTTGCTCCTCCCCGCTTCCCGGGTGTGGCCCTGCCAGAGCTGTGTCCTTCCTGATGGTTTCACACGCGATCTGGATGCCAAGTGGATGGTCAGGTCCAGGGCACCCGAGAGCCCAGGGCCTGGGGTGCCGATCTTTGGGCTTCTGGTCCGATGCTTTCACTTGGACCCCGCCTGGCCAACTGTGGCTCTCCTTTGCCATGGACCAGGAGCAACAGACCCCTGCAGGCCAGGGCCAGCGTGGCACATCCTTGGGACCCTCCTGGCACGTCCCTGGGACCCTCTTCCCCCGGGCAGGGTCACTGCCTGGGCACAGTGCTACAGTGGGTGCTGAGAGGAGCTCTGGGCACTTGGGAGGGCACCACTCCCAGGTGAGAGAGCGGGAAGGGCAGCCTGGGGGAGCAGCTCACAGGGGCAGGGCCAAGGTGTAGGCCGGGGCAGAAGCCAGGACAGAAGACCAGCGGGCCTGCCGGTTAGCTCAGTTGTTTAAGCGCCTGCTCATGCAAACGCAGCCAGGCGCAGGGTGCCACGGTTTGATCCCCGATTCCACCTGCCTTACCAGAAGACCAGAGGCGTGCGAGAGGGCAATGTGGCTGGGGAGGAAAGGTCGTTTGGGTGCTTGGGATGCAGCACCCGGGAAGAGCCTATAAGGAGGCCGGTGCCGGAGAAGGGACAGGAGTGCTTCCTTCCCAGGCTGGAGGCTGGATCTCTCCTGCAGTTACTAACTCTTCTACCTTTGCCTCACCACCCTATACATACACATACATGTGTGCCTAACACGGTGCACGTGTGCAAACCCCGTGTGAGCACACAACAGGCCGCTCACTTCCCTCTGGTCAGGTCGCCTGCACTCCCACGCTAGGTTGTGCTGTCCTTCCTGTCACCTTTCAGAAGAGGGAAACTTGAGGCCCACAGACCTGAGGATACAGTGCTGTCATGCACGGTCCCAGAGACACTGTCTGGTGGCCTTTGTGTCGTGGGGTATTCAGTGGGGAGGGGCAACGAGGACAGGATGAGAGGGCCTGGTGCCCAGACCCGAGGCTGGGCACAAGGCGAGCCTGGGTCAGGCCCTGCCAAGGCTGCTCTGCCAGGCCCTGGGCAGGGCCCCCGCCACTGCTCTGCAGCCTGCTTCACCCACTGCAGCAGCGACAGAGCCCCAGGGCCTGGGCCGCTCCCCAGCTGGCACTGGCACCTGCTGAATATTTCAAGGTGGAAAGTCCTGCTCTGTTCTTCTCCCCTGCCAGTGCCCGCCACTGGGATACCATCTGCCAGGGTGGTGGGAGGTCAGGGCAGGCAGACAAGTGCAGGCTGAGCTCTAGCAGCTGCACAGGTCCTCAGGGATGCGGCTGTCGTGTGGAGAGGGTGAGATCGCTGCAGCCCAGTCTGGTGAGGCAAGGGCCCGCCTGAGCAGGCCCCGTGCAGACCTCTGCTCACTTTCGCAGCCACAATAGCTTCACTTCATTTCTGTCACCCTCGACCCTACCTATAGCACTGCCTTCATGGGACAGAGATGCCAGGACATAACGGGGAAACAGGAGAGAAAGGGGGCTTCCTGCCTGCACCAGGGCCAGGGCCAGGGCCATGCGGTCTCTCCATGCCGTCTCTCCGTGCCTCAGCAACTTCTGGTCCTAGAACTCACCCTAAGCAGTCTTCCCAGCAGAGCACAACCTAGAGAAGGGTGCGAGTTTGAACCACATGAAAATGGCTGCTATTTGGTGCTCTTACTCCACATGAAAAGCAAATCAAATGATTCAATCTAGTTTTTAAAAAGACCTTCACTGAGAACAGTGTCGAGTGGGCAGCTATTTCCCAGAAGAGGGTGCATTCTGAGTGGTGCAGTGGTGCTGCCCCTGAGATTTGCCTCCACCCTCAGCTCTGCTGGCCCTGTGTGTCTGTCAGCTAGCCTTGTGACTTGCGCGTGCATCCTGCACCCCCTGGAACCTGGGCCTGCTTTCCCCACGGTGCCTGCCTACTTGCTGGGCTGTACTTTGTGTCCATGGTGTGGTGCCAGCCCACCATGCTCACCCCTTCTGGTATGCTCATTTGGACATGGATAGATGGATGTATTATGGATGGATGGACGGATAGATGGGTGGGAGGAAGGATGGATGGGGGTGGGTGGGTGGATGGATAGGTGGGTGGGTGG